CGAGGACGACGCACGCAAGTGAGTGGAGTCTGTGGACAACATCCCCCCCCCCAAAGAAAAACCTGTTGCCTTTTTTGGTAGCAAAAGATAATATAAGACAGGGTCTTATTTTTGGGAAAACATGGTATCCCTCTGACAACTAAAGGTAGTCTTTGTTTAGCGACTGCCTCATACAGCAACTATTTGCAGTGATGAAAATGTAACTCTGTGACCAATCCTCACGTTTATGACTTTTGCAGGTCTATAAAGCAAAGGAAAGTTTAAGATAATAAGCACAGCTACAATTGTGCTTAGGGACAGCTTCACTTAACAACTAGGCCACCTGTCCCAATCGTGGTTACTAAATGAGACCGGCCTGTCTTTTATAAGGAGGAATAACCTGGAACCCTGCAGATTCTATCAAATGGCAATTCTTCCAATGCCTAAAATGTGTCCTTCTGGTTAAGGTTAATGGAAGCTCCTGTGTTCCTCCCTCTTGTTCTGCTCTTTCTAGCCATCTTCTTCTTCTTTTTCCAATCTCAAACTAATGACTATGTTGGTGATCACTCGGTTCATTGTTAGCAAACATTAGGATGCATTTGTTTGTCAAAATTTCCCTAAAAGGTCCTTGTATTTATTGCCACAGTAATGCTCCAAACCACATAGGGCCAGAACAGTGATGGCGAACCAATGGCACACATGGCACAGGTGGCATGCAGAGCCCTCTCTACGGGCACGCCAGCCGTCGCCCTAGCACAGTTCCATCGCACATGCGTGCACGTCTCCCACTGGCCAGCTGGTCTTCAGGTCTCTGCTGCGCATGTGCGGGGGGGGGGCATTCGCATTGCATTTTCGGGATTTGCACGTGTTGTGTCCCCCAAACCCCATTATGGGACTGGAAGGCCTCCTTCACCAATCTGGAAGCCAAAACAGGTCACGGGGGAGCCGCACGAGCCCCCCCTCCCTCCACAGCCCATTTTGGTCCTGTAAAGCTTTCTGCACCGACCTGAAAGCCCAAAATGGGGGGGGGGGCGCTTGCATTGCATTTTTGGGTTTCGGCACACATGCACTTTGGGCACTTGGCACCAAAAAGGTTAGCCATCACTGCACATGTGCATAAGCTGCACATAAGCTTATGTTTTTTGGCTACAAAGCAGTGCTGACACCTGTTTCCTAAATTAGTTCTGTACCCCAAATGCTCATAAACCCGTGATGGCGAACCTGTGGCACGCAGAGCCACTTGTTAGGGCACGTGAGGTGTTGCCCTGTCAGCTGGCCAGCATGCATGCACGTGCTGGCCAGCTGACTTCGGCTTTGTTTTGAGGCCATTTTTCACCTCCGGAGGGGTAAAACCAGCCCTGAGCAAACCGGAAGTCAATTCTGGTTTGCTCGTAGGGTCGTTCCCCTGAGCCTTCAAAAAAGCCATCTGAAGGCCCCTGAAGGCTCTGGAGGGCTAAAACCAGCAAACCGGAAGTCCATTCCCAAACTTGCTGGGCCGGGTTTTTGAGGCTCCTGAGGCTTCAGAGAAGCTCCTGAAGCCTCCAGAGGGCCTCCGTTGGGAGGAGGCTGTTTTCACCCTCCCCAGGCTCCTATAAAGCCACTGGAGTCTGGGGAGAGTGAAAAAAAGGTGGCCAAAAATGGGGGGGTGGGAATGCTGGTCGTGCGCACATGCATGCTGAGGTCATGTGCATAGCACTACGGAGGTGGCATGCCCGTGCATGACACACACACCCTGCGCTCCCCCCCGCTTTTGGCACGCGAGCCAACAAAGGTTCGTCATCACTGTTATAAACTATATATTGTTCCCTCCCTCTCTCTTCCTCCCTCTCCCCCCCCCCATTTGTTTTATAGGATAGATATTTCATATCTCATCTTTATATCAGCAGCAGCAGACAGGCCTAAATTGCAGGTGTTCAGAGTAGAAGAAAAACAACTTATGGAAGAAAAAAGGTTAGGGAAACCCAACTGTTTAATCCACATCAAAAAACAAAAAAAAATGGTCATGAAAATACCGAGCTATTTCCGCTTAATGGGGGGAGGGAGGGAGGGAGGGAGAGAAAGAGAGAGAATGCAAATCCACTGAAGGAAGGTAGGGAGGTTGAAAAAAGTGATCTGGGTCGATAAATGCGGTAGTACCTACCTGTTGTTGTGAGTTGTAATCAAATAAGCCCACAGTTGCCGCAGCAGAATCCACAGGAACCTGGGTACCAGAGTAATCAAACTGAAGTGGCTCCATGCCCACATGCTCCATGGGATCCAGAGGAACACTCTGGGACTCCATGTTAGAGAAATCCTCCACGGGCTTGGCACCATTAGTACTAGCTAACTGGGCTAAGCTTTCTGATCCATTCTGGTTTGGCCCTAAAAGATCCACATCATTGGCAGAGTTCTGGCAGTTTCCGGGTGTCCTGCTGAAAAAGAAAGGGGAAGGAGTGATTTCAGTTTTGTCTTACATGTTTCCTATACACTTAATTTAATTAGCGGGCCATAGGAACATGCGCACCTATGTGTTACAACACACTCTCTTTAAGTTGTGTTATCCACTACAATGGTTTCTCTTCTTTTGTATTGTAAACATCTTTAACCCAGATGTGATACCATATTGGAATTCTCTCCCAGGATAATTTTATTAGCAACAATAAAACCTGAAGACAATGTAATAAAGTCTTTCAAAATTATCTTGCTCAATTAACGATCCAATTAATGCTGCTTGCTGCTTCTCCCAAGAGAACGAAGGAAAGAACAATTCCCAGGATTCTCAATCCTAGCTTACAAAGAAAAAAAAAACCTGCCTGGCCCCTTCAACTATACCAACTTTAAAGTCCAGTCCTGGTAATTTGGTTAAAGGTAAAGATTTTCCCTATCCACTCATTTCTGACTCTAGGGGGCAGTGCTCATCTCTGTTTCTTAGCCGAGGGAACCAGCAGTATTTTATTTTTGGTGTTTCATGGTCATGTGGCCAGCGTGACTACACACTGTGGCAGGCGGAACACCGTTACTTTCCCAGTGATACTTATTTATCTACTCACATTTGTCTGCTTTCAAATTGCTAGGTAGGCGGGAAATGAGCCAAGTAAGATGAGCTCACTCTTGTTGCATATAGTTCAAGTATCAATCTGGGTAGTCAGCTTTCCAGCTGAGCCTAGAACAATTTCATCCAAACTTGGCACACAGATGACTTACTCTCTGGAAACAAATACTTTGGGGGTAAGATGCCCTTAAAACCCCTCCGGGGGGGTGTTGTTCTGTTAAGATACAGCCTGTTGTGCCATAAAATGAATTCTACTGTACAAGCAGTGGGGTTGCCATGGTAATGGCTACATAGTACTCCACAGGGGGGGCTCCCTCTGGTAGGGGGAAAAATCCAACATTAGAAATTACGTTTGGCCCAGACATTTTCAACATCATGAAGGCTTTTCCTGTCTAATACAGGATTAGGATAAATAAATACCCGAGCAACACCGGGTTATCAGCTAGTTTTGTAGTACAATACAAACTTTCCTCAAACTGGACATATTTGGCTATGTTCCTATATAACACTGAACAATGTGCATACGTACCCTCTCCTTCTGGAAGAAGGAATTGGGAGAAGCACTCCAATTCGTTTTCCTGGTTTGCTGTTCATCAATGAAAACAACTTTAAATTAGGATTTTTTTATTGATTGATCACATTTATATGGCTGCCCATATAACACACAAAGCAACTGTGGACAGCTATGTAAACTTCCATTTTTTGATCAAGCCAACCAAAAAGCCAGGTCATGTAACCAGTTGGCTAAGCAACTGATTAGAATTTATTCTAATCCACAATTCCTTGTATGATGGGTAACCAGTCAAGAATTGAGCAAATCAGGCTGGAATATGTCTTGGCAGAAGAAAAGAGTAGAGAAACCAGAGTTCCTTTCTCCTCAGAGAATATTAGGCATGATTTGTCATGACGAACTGCGGCTCTGTGCGGCGCACAATCATATATGCAAACTTACGTACCTAAAATCTTTTGCATCCGCATCGATTCCGTTTTGCACAGGCAAACCATTAGCCTTGTCCATTACGTCGCCTTCTTCCTTCAAATCACCTAATTTATCACCATCAAATGTACCCTTATTTTTCTTGTCTCCTTTATCATTGTCATCATTCTCTGCATCCCTTGGGCCCTGGGCAAAGCATAGAGGGTTGTTAAATTCTGCACAATTCAATTATTAACAATTTGGAAAAAAATCTACATCAATAATCTGCATAGCACTTGTAAGTTTAACCACCATTTTAATTCAGTTCTATTTAATTTTAACCTTATGTCAATATAACTGGGGGGGGGGAAGAGGGGGTATTAAGGTGATGATCAACTCAAAATTGTTTCAAATAAAGGTGGATAAAAATTGATTTTTTTAAAAAAAATGATTTTTTAAAATTTAAATCGGGTTTTTAAATTTTAAATTGGATTTATTTTTAATTTTTATTGATTTTTTTAAAAATAAAATGCTTTTGGAGTAAAAATCTATCTTTAGTTTTCTGTTTAAGATACATTAATAATTTAGTTTATTCAGCATGAAATGGAACGTAGTTACTGGGATGTAGTATGAGGCTGTACATTCTGCAAAATTTACATTTTTGGTAATCTCATTCAATGTATCCAAGCTCTGCAAGCTACACTATATTGCCAAAAGTTTTCGCGCACAACTGATTCTGATTATGTGGATGGGTGAGCGAATACTTTTGGCAATATAGTGTAAGTAGGAAACCTTCATTTTGTTTGCAAATAATAATATTACAGATTCTAACTACCGGCAACTACCATTTGAAGAGCAGCTGTCATTTCAAATCCATCACGGCAGCGCCTGTTAGCGGGCATCCACTCACCTGCTGCCTTCCACGCCCCTCAGCTTGTTGTGTCACTGCCGCATCACCAGCCGCCCCATTGAAGTGAATGGGACTGTTGGTGAGTCGACAGTGGGTCAGATGAGGGGCTGCTGCAGGACACAGATGACAGCTGCTTTTTAAAACTTATGATTTAGATTGAGTTGCTATTTTACTAGGGATTTAAATCCACCCTGTTCCAAATACAGTAACACTGCATCAACGGCACCCCAAATAGGTAACTGTGGTTCAGAAATAGAAAGGCCACGGTATTACTTACAAATCCTCCTTTTCTGAGACAGGAGTCCCCAGGGGATGAACTCAACACGTATTCTACCATGCTAACACCAAGCCCACCACTTTCCGATCGTGGAGACAGCACTGAATTAACTTCGTTATTCACGTGAAAACCTTGACCTGGTCTTCTCTGAACCATGATTGGTTGGGAAACAGAATGATCTGCAACAAAGATAACCACAATACTCACAGGTTACAAATTCTCAAAAGGGAAATTTATTATCAGCCAAATATTTAGGGTCTGTGACGTATGATTATTTCCCACCTTATTCTTCATGCCCTATTATCATTAATTTTATCATTTCACCTTTCCCCCCCCCTTTCTAAAAGTCACCAAGCATAAATGTTCAATTAAAACTACTTACTAAAACTTAGCATGAACCCTAAGAACAGGGAAACACGGTTGTCCTATAGAGTAAAAAGTTGAGAGCAACACTAACAGGGGAGGGCTGCTGCGGGTTCGCATAGGTTCGAGTGATCCTCTAGCTAAGGATCTGTCCAGATCAGCGAACCCGCAAATCCCACTCCTGGCTGGGCCCACCCATCCGCCCACCCGCCCCCACCCCTCCCAGGAGTTTCAACACTGTCCATTTAGGATGCCAGGTAAGTACAGAGCCTGCGAGAAGGCTATGGGAGGGCGAAAAACAGGCCTCCAGGAAGTCTGGAAACGGGCCAGAGGGACTTCAGAGCCCCGAAGGGGCATTTTCACCCACCCAGATGCTTGAGGGAAGCCTCCGGAGCCCGGGGAGGGTGAAAATGCCCCCCCTGCCATGGTACAGGAAGCTGACTAGGCCACGCCCACCATGGCCATGTGCACCCAGCAACTGGGCAGAGAACCTGTTGCTAAAATTTTTGAAGCCCACCCCTGAACTCTAATATTCATCTATGACAAACATTCCACATCGTTTCGTGTGAAATCATACAGAAAAGGATTTATTGTCTATTTAAAGCAGAGACGGGAAAGAGCTACATTTTCCCCTCTCGGCAGAGTGTTCCATAGCCAGGTGCTGCTATCAACAGTACCCATCAACCTTGGCTCTCCATCAACCTTGGCTCTTGAGGGCCTCTAGCATTGATGTTAAATGATCATCAGCCTCAAATAAAAGAACAGGCTGTTTCAGATATCCTAGTCATAAATTATTTAGGGCTTTCAGAGTCACAACCAGCACTCAGAATTGTGGCTGAAATAAACTGGAAGCAATATACTGTTCCAAGGGGGTGCAATGTAATCTTTGAAATGCATTCCGGATTAAAAAAAATACCACCCCGTGTACAAAAGCTTTTCATTCTGCCTTTAAGGAATTTCAGTCTTTAACAGCGCCAAGAAATTAACGCCATCCCTCGATGGCCACAGTCCGCCCTGACTTTCTTTTCCACTTCCTTAAAAAGTGTACTCAAGGTAATTCAGTAATCCTATATTATTCCCTTAACCAATAAAATTATACTTAGCTTTACAACAATTGGATGTTATGGACCACTTTTAAATGCTTTTAACTAAATGTCCTAAAGTGTTTTAAGGAAACAAAAGGAAGAGAAGACTAGTGGTAAAAGAGGAATAATACAAGATTGTCCAGAATTATTTTCGATCACGGTAATTCAAAATACCTGATGTCCCCCAAGCGCTGTCTCTCCACTGATCGCCCAAAAATATTCCTTTTGGTCCATCTTTGCTTGAATCATCTGATTCCCAAAATTTTTTCCCTGGCAAAAGTTGCTGTAAAGGAAAAGCAGAAATACTGTTAGGTAAAAAGGACATGGGACACTAGGACAAAGATAGCAGCTTTAAAATAATACCTAATTTTCATCTCTCATGTAACTAACAATTAAAGCAGATTTACTAAGTAGGTTAGGAACTTCTTCCCAGAACTTCCTCCCAGAAAAGTGTGCTTGCTGGGACTTCGGAAGTTGCCTTCTCAACCCAACTGCAGGGTATGGGCAAAGGTGGGTTCCTACTGGTTCGGCCCAGTTCGGCCGAACTGGTTCTATTGTCAGTGGCACCATCTTTATTTTTGCTTCTGCGCAAGCAAAAATTGTAGAAATGTAACCCCCCTTTTTTACGTTCTGCGCATGCGCAGACCTTTTTTAGGTGTAAATGCACACGCGTGTGGAGCGCACGCGCAAACTTTTTTGTGAGCCGAACCAGCAGTAATGCCAGTAGCAACCCACCCCTGCTATGGGGGTCAGGTATGTCTGCCATTCTGTATTTCAGAGTAAGGTAAAGGGGGGGGGGGAATTGGAAGAGAAGAGATCTAATTTTAGACAGGAAAAAAATCATTACAGGTCGTCCTCGACTGACAAGAGTTCGCTTAGGGACCGTTCAAAGATACGACGAGACTGGAAAAAGCCACTTATGACCACTATTTTTCACATTGATGACCACTGGCACATGATCCCCATGATCAAAACTGAGATGCTTGGCAACTGGCTCATATTGATGACAGTTGCAGTGTCCCGGGGTGACGTGATCCCCTTTTGCGACCATCTGACAAAGCAAAGTCAATGGGGAAGTCAGGTTCGCTTAACAACCGTGTTACTAATTTAACAACTGCAGGGCTTCGCTTAACGACGGTGGCAAAAAAAGGTTGTAAAATGAACAAAACTCATTTAACAAATCTCTTTAAGAACATACATTTTGGGCTCGATTGTGGCCGTATGTTGAGGACTACCTCCACTATTCCCTTCCTATAAGCAAGGGGGCAGCATTGCTCCCTTGGATTACAAAGGGAAGGCAGGCACTCTTGAGCAACATGTCCAATAAATCACCCAAATAATTCATTCTGTGGGGCAGGTCTAGGTCAGGAACAGCAGGCCTGGAAATCCTGTATCTTTTGCTCCATCTTCTACAAAAGTTTTGATGACTGATAGGCTTTAATTGGGTAATAATAAAGTAAGGCAGGGTTGGGTGGAACAAAGTTGAGTAGAAGGGCAATTAGGAAACTCTTCAACAACAACCACAACAACAAAAAAGTTATGGCACAGTTAGTGCGGAAATGCTTTCTAAAAGGGAACTTATAAATAAGTGTACCAAGAGCAGTATGGTAGTATTGCCTCAAAAGAACATACAACTAATTTAAGGCCAAAGAGTCATGTTTACATGCCGATATTTACAAACAGTAGTGATATGATTATATAACTACGTACTCATAGTAGAATGAACAATTAAAAGGCCAAACACAGCCACGATGCAGGAAGTGGTAAAATTTTAAGGAAGATGGAATTTCTCAATATCTTACTTGCCTGACAGCTGCCTTCTTTCTCTTACTCCCTGGCCATGTCCAATTCCCCATTTGTTAAAATACAGTTTAGGGGTGTCAAACTCAAGGCCCGGGGGCCAGATCCGGCCTGCAGGGTGCTTAGATCTGGCCCATGGGGCCGCCCTGGAAACAATGAACAACCTGCCCGCATTGCCTCTGCCAGCAAAAACGGAGCTTGGGAGGGCCACATGCGGCCCTCTCGGGCTCTATTTTTCCTGGCAGAGGATTTCAGGAGGCCATCACAGCCGGAAACAAAGCTTGGGAGTCGGTTTTCGCTGGCAGAGCGCTTGGGCCACCAAAGGTGCCCCTGACATGAGTGACACTGGGCTGGCCACGCCCACCCTGGCCACATCCATCCTGCTCCTCCCCCCACACCAGTGTCAAACACAACCCTGATGCGGCCCTCAATGAAATTGAGTTTGACCCCTCTGGTTTGGCAGCTTACAATAAACCACAAAAGTTCTCATTCCTAGTAGCTGACATGAAACTATATTATTTTATTTCAGACCTATTGCAATATTAAATCAAGGAGGAAGAATGGAGTGAAGAGTGCAATGAACCATACCTACTTAGGGTTACTGTGACGCATGCGCTTTGGAGTGATATATAATATCAACTTTGCTGTTAGGATCCATCCAAGGAAACAGGGCTGTCTAAAAGAAACTATGACTCAATGCACTTGTGAATCCAACAAATTTCTTATATTCTAGGGACTAAGAAGCTAAGAGAGTACGGAAACAATTCCTGTCGCTTACTTGAAATTTTATAATTAAACAAACACGGCACGTAATATTATACTGTGGAGTCTTCTCATTCAAGAGGTTGGCCAACCATGTTACATTTCATGATTGGCCAGTCTATTTATCCCATAAACCTTCCATATTTCCCCTCCCATTATTCAACATTATGGCTTTAGTTTCTTTCTTAAGCTTTTTGTGTCTCTTTTTACATTTTGCAAAACCTGGGGCTTCACTGAGCTTTTTTGGGACCTTTATTCAGGGTCCTGTTATGGGTGCAATACCACATGAATCTGTGATGGACTGATGACTACGGTAATGAAAACTCACTAATTTACCTCCCTGCGACACAGACACACCAGCCCTATCCAATGGTGGTCCTGTAAGCCTCCTAAACAGGAGGAACCACCATAGAATGTTTTCCAGAATGCTGGCTGGCGAATTCGGGGAGTTGAAGTCCTCACACCTCTAAGCCACCGAAGAAACCGAAGAAACATTGGTCTAAGAATTTGGTGGGGCAGAGTGAGGAATGGCATAGCATACTATGGTGATACTGAAAGCCGAGTATTCAGGGATTATGTAGTAATTCAGATGTATGAGCAGTGTCTTTTACTGAGTATCAACATAAATTATACATTTATCAGTCAAAGTTTAAAACCTGAAGCTGAAGAAAGAAAGCATTCTATTATACACATACAACAAGTTAATATTTTATTCTTCAGTGAACGTAGGTGTAGGGAATTTTTTT